TAACCCATGATTTTTCATTAGCAGTTCATTATTCTGTTCAGCAACAAGCATGCAAGATATAAGTTCTGAGTACTTTTTGAAACCACGCTCGCGGTATTGCTACTGTAGGAGCACATTCAAGGCGTGAAAGATGGAAAAAATTTTCTCCAACATATCTTCATCAGTGTTTTTTTTCTCCACACAATGTTAATTTTGAATATATTTTAAACAATTCAAAATTGTACTCACTAACAATTTTGAAGTCTTGCAAACGAAGGTCCATCAACTCATAGAGAGTTTTGGGAAGGACTATAGTCCTCTAATGATTAAATCCCGCGGTAAATTTTTTCCAAAGAACCTGTGGATCTTTCTCAATAAGATATTCAATTTTCAATCCATCGTGAAGATGATGACGAAGGAAAATGAGTGCTTTTTGCACGATCCTGCAAGGATTCTTTATTTCCTTCTTTTATTGTCTCTCCCAATCCTTTTGAGACAAAATAGATATAAGCATCAAGTACCTATGATAAATAATTTTTGCCAGAGATGTCAAGTGCAGCAAACTCAAGTTTTGTGATGTTTATCATTTGATTAACTACACAATAAAACAAGAGAAAAAATAATTAGATTTGAAGAATATGATTAAACATCATATAATAATTAATCAAGTAATCAACATAAGTTACTTGTTTTCTTCCAAGGACAAATACTAAAATAATATGTTCTTCGAAACATATACTATTTCAAGAGCACGTTGTATTTTATTATTAGTATATCTTCAAGATCAATACGTCAATACTCTTCTAAAATATTGAAAAATATAATTTTTGCTCTTCAGGAGCAAATAATATTCTCTATGAATATTAATTATAATAGTGTACTACTTCCGAAGTATCAACAAACTAGTTATAATAGATAGATCTTTGATTAATATTCGTTTAGAATATTAATTATAATATTGTATTACTTTAAGAGCAACATTACAATAAATATTATATGCATAAACCACAAAAGATTAATTAATTTTACCAAACATATAATTAAAAGCATTTGACTGCAGATTATGAGTAATATAGCATACATAATTACAGGACATGCAAATTGAATTAGAGGAAACACGTAATAGAATTAAAGAATTACAGGACATCCAAATATAGCATACATAATTACATGACATGCAAATAGAATTAAAGAATTACAAGTGATGTGAATTAAAGAAAACATGTAATGATTGCATATGTTTGAATTTTTTGGATTCAGTGAATTGTTAAACCAAAATCTATTATGCCAAGAATAGATTTTTAAGTGCTGTGAATTGATAGTTGAACACAGTGGCTGGCGGCGGCAGAGAATTTAATTCTTTACATTCACATGTGTTGCCAAAAAAAAGGTAATCATTAACAGCCATTATAACTTTGACTAAAACCATGAAATTCTATGTAAACTATAACATAATTGAACGTGAAATCCAGATAGATAAATCAGAAACTATAAAAAAAAAAAAAAAAAAAAAAATTTAACCATTTTTGGTTTTATACGAAGTGGCCGAGATTTCGTAAAATAAATTTTACCGTCATAGATTACAATAGAAAGTTTAAACATGCAAATTAACGTGCTATGTGTAGAAAAAAAATTTGCATGTTGCCTAATTAATTTTGATACATGTGATAGAAAAAAAGAAAAATTATTACCTTCACAAAATTTTGAAGAATTATGCTTTTTATGCTGAAAACGTGTTATAAAGTGAAGAAAAGAGAAGAGAACGGAGGGAAGTCAATAAACTTGTGTGTATTTTATTAAAGACCAAAGCCATGTATTTATAGAGTAGAATCAGGAATACAACAGTAATTATTTCTAGGGCTACAAGGGTATAATTGTCATTCACTCTAAACCCTAATAAACTTTCATTTTACAACAATTTCTTAATTCTGCTCTATTTGTTCATCACATAGGTATTATTCGATTTATTTGTTTAAAATAAGAGATGTATTACTTGACTTGATAAAAATTAACGAAGATCCTTAAACAAAAGGTCAAGTCAAGTTCTTACCGATATATGAACTTCAAAATTTTGAGTTCTTGCTTAGCATGATAATTTGCTTCAAGTTGTTACATATAGTCAATATTATGAGTAGATTTCTTCAAATAAAAACATGAATATTGATGGTGTTATCTCTTACAAGGAATTTTTTTTATTTCTCTAAAATTATAGAGAAATTGAATTTTTTATTGTCATGTATAAATTGACAAAAAGAGCAAGTAAGATGGGTATTAAAGAAGTATTCCAATAAAAACGTAAAATTTGATTAAAGAAGCAATTTGACGAAAGTAGTAGTGATGGGGGTAAATCAATCAGTTGAAGAATCTTTAGAGTTGAATACTTTTTTTATGATTGAATAAGCTCCATCTTCTCTAAAATTCTATTTGAACAATTTATACAATATGAAGAAATATTTCAATTTTTATTAAATTTGAAAAAGTTAAAGCGTGCAATTTTTTAAATTTGTTGAAGCTTTGTATGAATCTTGAGAAATATTTAAAATACAATTGACATTCAAATATTAATGGAGATGATTTATGATTCTGAGTTGCATGTCTTGAGGTACTATATACTACGTGAAGCAACGAGAATAATTGAAATACTACAATATTTGAAAACAATTCAAATGCTTATATTACTTACAAAATTTTATTAATCATATTTTATCTGATCTTTGATCAACTATATAACAAGAAATATTGAATTGATTGACTACATTATTAATTGAGAAAGAATAATTGAACAGGAAGATTATTTTAATTTTAATAATATTTTTGCCTCTAAAAACGTAAGAGGAATAGTATTGACTGGTCGTTTGAAACATTATTGGCTTTGTTATTCGACTATAATATAATTCTTTTGTATAATACATTTTATTTGTTATTTCATTGTTAAGTTTTGAATTAACAAGTTAACTATTGGTTCCATAATACGATTTTACATGCATACTAAAATTTTGGGGTTCAATTTATGATATTCACCTTAGGCCACGAAAATAACAAAATGGGCACTGAGAAACCCTAATAAGATAGTGAAAATTTTTAGCAGGTTTCTGATTATAGTAGTGAACAAAGCCTTTTTCTGATCTATTGGACTATAAGTTTCTGACTGAAAAGTGAAGAAAGGGATAAGCTATGGCTGAATAAAATCAATTAAAATATGATATGGTTGGGAAAAAAAGTTGTTGGTGGTGGTGGTGGAAGAGGAGGAAGAAGAAAAGAAGATGGAAGGAGATGAGGGAGAAAGAAAGAGATCTTTTTTTTTTCCCTAATTTTTTAATAGTTTGTTTGATACTCGTTTGTGCTTTTTTTTTTCCTTAAATTTTGGCAGTATGGTTACTATTAGTTCTTTATTTTTATTTTTGCTTTATTTAAATAGGAGGATATATTTGTCGTTTCACACTTTTTATCGAAAAATTGGATGAAAATAGATGAAAATAATGATTTCCTAATGAAAAGTACTAATAAAGATGAAAAAAAATATAAATAAATAAATAATAATAATAATAATAATAATAATAATTGGAGGTGGAGACATTTTGCACGATAAACTTCAAACAGAGGGACGTTTTTGTACTAATAACCCTACAATTTATTACAAAACTCAATTTTGAACAACAATCGAAGCACACAACTCAAAACAATTTCTACAAAATACCAACCTAAAGCTTCAAATTGTAACTAAAATCAACACTTATATGAATCCATATAGATACATAAAAATATATACAAAGTCAATTTTCGATGGGTGGGTGGCCAGCGACGGTGGGTGGCATGGGTTTGGTCTGGTTTTTGGGATGGAATGGAGTGGAATGGGGAGAGGATGAGATGGGTGGGAAAGATAAGGCATGTTCTTCCCTTTCTGTTTTTTGGTTTTTATTTCATTATTTTAAATTTTTATGCATGAAAATATAAATTTGCCATTTGACCATTTTAAAATTTGTTCAAATAAGGTCAAAATTAATTTTCCTGGACAATAATGATCAATTGGACGGAAACCATCAATGTGTCCCTGTGCTACAACTACTTTTAAAGGTTTGAGATTGTGTGTAGTACAAATGAAAATAATTTGAGTAAAGTCTGTAAAAAAGTGATAGATTTAGGACCGTAGCTTCAATTATCCCTAAATTATATCACAGTTAATACTAGCATAAAGCATGTTCCTTCAAATCTAAGCACCATTGCTGCGGGCGGGGGGGTTATAGAAGTAAGGCTAACATTTTCTTATCCTTACTGATCAATATATGGACAAAAAGCATATATTTTGAAAATTCTTGTACTGATTTAAAAGAAGTAAAAGGTTAAGTTCATGTTTGGTGTACTTAAATGTTAGATTTTTAGTAAATGTTGATAAAAGTTGTAGTTGAGAAGTTGAAAAAAGTTGTGAGTTCTATTATATGTGTGAGTTTTGACTTAAATTTTAATTAACTATTTAAGCTATGCCAAACAAGGGCCTAAAAGAATTTAATAGATAAAGCGGTTGAAGCAACTTGTTATTAGGTTATTCTGGTTTCCTATTTTTCTAATTGAACCGGTGGCTATATTGAGTTCTTATTAGCGCCCCGTTTGGTAGCCATTTTTTTCAAAATGCATTTTTCTCTCTTCTCTTTTCAATCACACATTCTTTATTAAAATAATATTACACGTAAATCAAAAAAATTTCCTTATTTTTCAACCATAAATTTCCCATCAATTTACTATTCAAAAATGCATTTTTACATAAAAATGTCTCCCAAACACCCCCTATATTAATTTGTGAGATATTATTTCCTATGGATTTATTTGTTTAATTAACAATTGTTATATGGGCTATCTAATTAAGTAGGGTCAATTTAAATGATCTAGTTATTGGATTCTAGAAGCATCTATTGGATATGGACCTTGCAACGTGTAGTTACCATTTGTTAGACTAATAATGGCTAATGGGATTCTAATTAAAACCTAGTATATAAGTAACTTTAGGGGTTATGGTCCACAAGACTAATAATTGATGATTGTACATCTCTAAATTCCTCGTCCATGAGAGAGAACCCATTGAAGTATCCTAATTAGTCTATGGAAGACTTGAAACCCCCAACTAATTTATCGCCATGGATTCAGGTATGTTTTCTCTTCTACTGAATTCTTGAAGTTTTGATATGAGATCATTTGTTGTGTATGATAGATTAAAACTATGATTTTACCAATCAATTTCGAAATTGAAATCCAACCAGTGGTATCACAGCTAAATTTCATGTTAAATTATTAGGAATGATCATGATAATTATGATTTAAAATTTCTTGATAAATTAGTTCGTCATACATAATTTTGAATTGTTATTTGGCTACCTATATTGATATTTGGGGTTAAATATGAAATATTTATAATTTTCTTGATCACAATTGTATGATTGTTATGGTTCTTTGAAGTTTTCAATTCATGGTATAATTTTTGGGTTCTAGTTTTCTCTTTTAAGTTTTGATTCATTGTAGAATTGCCTTTTTTGTTATATGGATGTTTTGATTATTGATTCAGAAAGAAAAACACCAATTTTCGGAATTTATTTTTGATTTTTTCCTTAAAACAAATTTTTTGAAAAAAAAAAAAAAAGGGAATCCCAGAAAAATCAATGCGTATGACACCATGCTCTAACTTTCGGGTATATTTAAGCGCCTAGGCGCCACCCATTGGAGCCTAGGCGCTATCTTTGGGAAAAATGAAAAAAAAAAAAATGTTTGCACCATTGTTTTATATCTTGAAATAAATTAATTGAAGTAATATATTATCAAAGTAACCTCTATTGCGTAAATTTTTTTCTTGGACTATAAGATGTGTATGTTTATTATTTATGCGATCAATGACTGATCCAAAGGAAGGTTATTTGTTGGCCAAATAATAAACATACCTGCAGGGATAAATGTGTGATGATTGTCTAGTTGCAATGTGAACAATGAATCAACCCAAAGAAAGGTCATTGTTTGATAGGATTTATCGTCAACATTTAATTTCTGCATAGAGAGTACCACTTACAAGTTGATATTTATGTCCAAAGATTAAATATTAATATTGTGCTAGGTATCTAGAAATAGGACCCACCGCTGTTGATTGGTTATTTATGTCATGTATATATGTGAATGCCTTGACATAATTTTGAATTATAAGCTTATTATTTTTCTTTGCTCTCTATTTAGTTATTGCTTCTGCTACTAGCATTACTGTCAACATTAATTATATTCCTGTACTTAACGACACAAACTTCAAGACTTGGAAAGAGAACATTTCTATTATTCTCGACTGTATGGATCTTGACTTTACACAAAGGAAAGAACAACTTGCACCTCTCACTATTGAAAGTTTCTTTGATGGTAAAATTGAATATGAGAGGTTGGAGAGTTTTAATTACATAAGTCTTATGATGATGAAACATAGCATTTTAGGGACGCTACGTCTGATGAGAAAAGTGCTAAGAAGCTCTTTGAGTAAATTGAAAAACATTTTGCAAAGAGTAAAAAAATAGGGACAAGCACAATTTTGGCTAACTTTGTGTCAATGAAGTATAAAGGAAAATAGAATATGAGGAAGTACATTATCAAAATATCCAATATTGCTTCAAAACTAAAGGTACTAACGTTAGAGATGTTTGATGGCTTGTTCGTGCATCTAGTACTCATTTCTCTTACTACATTATACAGTCAATTTACATTAAACTACAATACTTAAAAGGATAAATGAACTCTTAATGAGCTCATATCTCAATGTGTGTAAGAAGAAGAAAAAAATTAAGCAAGACAAGACAAAAAGTACTCACTTAGTCACTACCTCTAAGGATAAGAAACAATAAATAAATAAAATAAAAGAGATAAAGGTAAGGAAGCTACAGTTGGAAACAATAGATGAACATGATAAAAAATTTACTTGTTACTTTTGCAAAAAAGCTGGACATATGAAGAAGGAACATTCCAAATATGATTCATGGTATAAAATGATGGGTACGTTTCTCACTTTAGTTTGTTCTGTAGTTAATTTAGCTTCTATGCCTAATCATACTAGGTGGGTAGATTATGGAGCTTCTACTTATGTAAATGTGACTATGCAGGGTTGCCAGTGGAGTCGAAAGTCAAATAACGCTAAAAAATTCATCTATGTAGATGATGGCAAAATAGTTGAAATGGAGGTAATATGAACTTTTAGATTGTCTATTAAGATTAGTTATTTTTTGGATTTGGAATATATATATATAGTACCATTGTTTAGACAAAGTTTGATTTCTATTTCGACTTTGGTCAAAATTGGGTTTTCTTGTCCATTGGAAAATTATAAAATTAGTCTATTTCAATATTCAAACATTGTTGTAACTAAGGATGGCAAAATGGCTCGCGGACTCAAGCCGCTCGTGGCCCGACTCGTAAAAAGCTCAAGGCATCCTGGCTCAAGGGTTAGGCCGAGCCCTATCTTGGGGTGGCAGGCCAAGCCCGAGCCCACTTGTGTGGCTCGTAGGTAGGCTCAAAATTTAGAAAAAAATAATAATTGTAAAGGCAATAGCTTGTTGCCTTTTACAAAGGCAACTAGTAGTTGCCATGAAGAGAAAAAAATATAGTTTGTTCGGCTCGATAAAGCCTGAGCCGAAAGCTCAAGTCCTCGATTTTTTAACTAAGCTTTTGCTCTACTCGGCTCGAGCCAAAAAAAAAGCTCTACTTAAAAAAACTCGAGCGCAGCCAGAGCCTCTATTTTTGACTCGTGATTTGACTCAACTTGGCTCATTGACACTCCTAATTGTAACTGGTTCTTTGATTGATAATCTATATGTATTGGATACAATTGTCTCATATAATGAAATCTTGTAAATAACTCGTGGTACAAAATGCAAATTAACTTATGAGAATTTTCTCATACTTTGACATAAATGTTTATGACATATCTCCAAACAGAGAGTAGAGAGACTTCTGTCTGACGAAATTCTTGATTTCATTGATTTAATAAACTTCAAAGTTTGCATTGAATGTATAAAGGGGAAAAAAGTAATTTAGGTACCGATAGGAGTTCAGGTATTTTAGAATTGATACATGCAAATATCTACAGATAATTTCCTACAGTTTCTTGGAATGATCAACAGTATTTTATTACATGCATAGACATTATTCTTGTTATGAATACCTATATTCAATTTATAAGAAGTCACAATCTTTAGAAGTTTTCAAAGCTTTCAAAGTGGAAGTTGAAAATTAGGGCTGGACAAAACTCCCTACAAAATTGGACCTAACCCAAATTGAGCCGAACCGAACAGTTTTTCTAAATTAAATTCCTAATTGGATATCTGAATCAAGAATTGAAGGATTTGGTTCAGTTCTTGGTTATAGACCGAACCATAAAACCGAATAAGAATCGAATATCCCTATTTTTTAAATTTATTTATCTTAAATAATCCAAATTATTTTTTCGAAATAAATTTGCTCACTAATTAATTTAGCTCAAATCAAAAATATGATTTTCTTATTTCTAGTTTCCAGTTCAAGCCTAACTTAATCAAATTGGTTTAAGTTTTACCCAAATTTATTATTCTACAATAGTGTCGGTTCTACAATTCTGGAGAAATTGAATTGGAAGCTCAGCTACGTCTCTCTTATTGTGAGCTACTATCTTTTCCTACTTGTGACTTTAACAATCAAATCTATAAAGAACTCCATAAAGAGAAGCGCAAAAGATACATAGGATTGAACTTTATTATTTTATAAGAGCTAATATTAAACATTTCATTAGTTGAATTATATAACGTTGTTGTAAATATTAAAAAAATAATTATTGTATGAAACCAAGAAATCGAATGGAACTAAATCGAATGAAACCGAACTCAAATGGTTCCATAATTAAATTTGGACCCTATAGTTCCACTTAATGAATATCTGAAAATTTTGGTTCAGTTCAATTTGATTTTCTTTAAAATCGAATCGAACCGGACAATGTCCAGCCTTATTGAAAATCAACTAGACAAGAAAATTAAGGCTATCAAATCTGATGTGGTGGTGAATACTATAGTAAATATGATGTGTCAGGTGAACAATGTTCCGAGGACCTTTTGTGAAATTCTTAAAGGAATGAGATATAGTCCCGTAATACACAATGCCAGGCAAACCTAGCATAAATGGTGTTGTTGAGAGAGATAATAAAACTCTTAACGAACATGGTAAGAAGTATGATAAATCATTCTTCTTTACCAGAATCATTCTGGGGATAAACACTAAAGATTGCAGCATACATTCTAAATAGGGTACCGAGTAAAGCGATAGCTAAAACCCCTTATGAATTGTGGTTAGGCAAAAAGCCTAGCATAAAGCATTTACACATTAGGGTTGTCTAACTGAGACAAGGCTTTATAGGTCAAATGAAAAGAAACAGGACTTGAGAACACTAAGCAGCTAATTTGTTGGGTATGTTGAACAATCGTAGGGTTTAAATTTTATGATCCTTTAAACAAAATTTTTGAGGTTGAAAATTCGAGATTCCTTGAGAATGTTGGGTTTGAAATGGTAGAGAGGGCTATTAAGAATGTTGTCTTTGAAGAAGAACTTATTTATCTTCCAAGTATTGTTATTGATAATGATCAGCTTTCTGATATTGTTCAAGATGCAATCCAAGACAAAGATGAAGTTGTTCTTAAAGAGCACACTCAACAATCTCAAAAGGAAGTGCCAATAAGGCGATCTACTAGAGAAATAAGAAGTACGATTTCAAGTGATTATATCGTCTTTCTTCAATAACATAAGTTTGACATAAGGTCTATCGAAGATGATCCAATCAAATTCCAACAAGTCAAACAAAACTCTAAATCTTAAAAAATGAATTGATGCCACAAATGATGAGATAAAACCTATGAAGGACAATAAAGTTTGAAATCTTGTCAAATTGCCTGAAGTTGCTAAGTCCATTGGTTGCAAATGTATAATTAAAAACAATAGAGATTCAAAAGGCAATATTAAAAGATATAAGACGTGTCTAGTCGATAAGGATTTTACTCAAAAAGAATGAATTGATTACAAAGAGACTTTCTCTTCGATTTCAACAAAAGTCTCTTTGAGGATAATAATTGCACTTGTAGTTCATTTTGCTTTAAAGCTACATCAAA